TTAGCCAGGTGTGGTGTTGCGTGCCTGTAGTCCCAGCTACTCAGAGGCTGAGGCAGGAGAATAGCTTGAACCCAGGAGCCAGAGGTTGCAGTGAGCGGAGATTGCACCACTGCACTCCAGCCTGGGAGGCAGGGTGAGACTCCATCTCAAAAAAAAAAAAAGAAAAGAAAAGAAAAAAGAAATACAGTTAATTTTTGTACATTGATCTTACATCCTGCAAACTTGCTGAACTCGGTTATTACTTTTAATAGTTTATTAATAGATTCCTTAGGGTGTTCCATATACAAGATGTCATCTGCAAATAGAGATAGTTTTATTTCTTCCTTTCCAGTTTGAATGCTTTTTATTTCATTTTCTTGCTTAATTGTCCTAGCTGGCATCACCTGTACAATGTTCAGTATAAGTGGTGAGAACAGACATCCTTATCTCATTCCTGATCTAAGGAACATAGAGAAAGTATTCAGTCTTCGACCATTTATTTTCTTTTACAATTTTTTTTTTGAGACAGAGTCTTGTTCTGTCACCCAGGCTGGAGTGGCGCAGTCATGGCTCACTGCAGCCTCAACCTTCGAGGCTCAAGTGATCCTCCCACTTGAGCCTCTTGAGTAGCTAGGACTACAGGCATGCACCAGCCAATTTTTTTAAATTTATTTTTTGTAGAGAGGGGATCTCTCGATATCATCTAGGCTAGTCTCAAAACTCCTGCCCTTAGGTGATCCTCTTGCCTCAGCCTCCCAGAAGGTTGGGATTACAGGCATGAGCCACCATGCCTGGCCAGGCTTTAATCATTAAGTACAATGTTAGCTGTGGGTTTGTGTTAATGCTTTTTATTTATTAGTTTGAGGAAGCTTCCTTCTATTCCTAGTTTGTCGAGAATTTTTATCTCGAAGGGCTGTTGAATTTTGTTGATGCTTCTTCTGTGTCTAGTGAGATGATCATGTGGTTTTTTTCCTTTATTCTATTGTTATGATATATTACATAAATTGAATCTTAGATGCCATTTATTTTTGCCTTTTAATTCAGCTTCCTATTTCCTCTTTCGTTAGCATTCAAAGGACCCTAGTGGAACCCATTAAATCACATATGCAATAGATACAATGCAGAACTTGGATGCTGATCGTGGTCCTTTGTGAAATATTCAATTTCCAGGGCTTTGTATCTTGTCAAAAGTCCTAGAGATGGCTGTTTAGGATTTTTTGTTTGGTGTTTTTTTGTTTGTTTGTTTTTGTTTTTGTTTTTTGAGACGGAGTCTTTCTCTATCGCCAGGCTGGAGTGTAGTGGTGCAGTCTCAGCTCACTGCAACCTCCAACTCCCTGGTTCAAGTGATTCTCCTGCCTCAGCCTCACAAGTATCTGGGTCTACAAGGTTGTGCCACTATGCCCAGCTAATTTTTGTATTTTTAGAGAGAGGGGGGTTTCACCATGTTGGCCAGGATGGTCTCAATCTCCTGACCTCATGATCTGCCCGCCTTGGCCTCCCAAAGTGCTGAGATTACAGGCGTGAGCCATCGCGCCTGGCCTAGTGTTGTTAAATGATGTGAATATAAAACAAATTTTTAGGTGTATTTATCCAACTATATAAATTCATAGCAATATTTTGATAGTATATATCGGGGTCCCCAACCTTTTTGGCACCAGGGACTGGTTTCGTGGAAGACAATTTTTCCATGGACCAGGGGTTGGGGGATGGTTTGGGGATAATTAAAGAGCATTAGATTTATTGTGCACTTTATTTCTATTATTATTACATTGTAATATATAATGAAAAAATTATACAACTCAGCATAATGTAGAATCGGTGGGAGCCTTGAGCTTGTTTTTCTGCAACTAGATGGTCCCATCTGAGAGTGACAGGAATCAGTGACAGATCGTCAGGCATTAGATTCTCATAAGGAGCACAAAACGTAGATCCCTCACATACACAGTTCACAATAGGGTTTGTGCTCCTATAAGGATCTAATGCTGCCACTGAACTGACAGGAGATGGAGCTCAGGTGGTAATGGAAGTGATGGGGACCAGCTGTAAATACAGCTAAAGCTTCACTTGCTTACCTGCTGCTCACCTCCTACCATGTGGCCCTTTATTTAGAATTTCATAATTATCAGATCACTGAGGAAATAAGGTTCCTCTATGTGGCCTAGGGGTTGGGGACCCCTGATATATATGATACAGTTTCATATTACAGGCACAATTTTTGGAGGTGGAAAATTTTAACTATATTATTTATATGCTTTTGGGGGATGACAAACCTTTTGTGCAGAATAAAATGTGTAGCTAGTATTTCTGGCAGTTGTAATCACTATCAGTGTATTTTGTCTTTGAAAATTTGTAGACCCCCCCCAATTTCTTCCTTCAACATATCATGATTTGTTTCATATTATGAATTTCCATCATGTCCCTATTTTATAATGTATGTTCACATTAATTGCAGTTCCCGTCTCTTGAAGACGTTTTTCTTTCCCATGTGGGTTCCTTCACTTGGTTGTATTGTCATTTTCATTGATGATGCATCTGCTAATTAATGTTTCTTTGAATGCCTGCCCTTTTGTTTTTGATTTTTGCAGTTCAGCTCTATTTTTTATTTCGGCTCTATTCATTGGTATTTTTTTGTAGCTTCTATTGGCCTGTGACCTTCTGTGACTTATTTATAATATTTACATATTTATGAAATTGATAGTCCAGGCCAGGTGCGGTGGCTCACCCCTGTAATCCCGGCACTTTGGGAGGCCGAGGCAGGCGGATTGTCTGAGCTCGGGAGTTCAAAACCAGCCTGGACAACATGATGAAAACCCATCTCTACTAAAATACCAAAAATTAGCTGGGTGTGGCGGCGTGTGCCTGTAGTCCCAGCTACTCAGGAGGCTGAGGCAGGAGAATCACTTGAACTCGGCGGGTGAAGGTTGCAGTTAGCCGAGATGACGCCACTGCACTCCAACCTGGGCAACAGAGTGAGACTCCATCTCCAAACAAAAAAAGAAAGAAATTTACAGTCCATCCTCTGCCATTAGTGATAATTAATATGTAAATGTTTACTTAAAATGATTTAGAAAATAGTTATTCCTTATGGCTAATATAGGTGATAGTTTTCTAAATTCATAGCAAGGTCTTGGATTATTAAAACATGTCACCTACAGATATATATAAAATTTTAGTTATTTATTCTGGTAACATATACAAAATATAAATTTTACCATCTTAACTATTATAAAGTATACAGTTCTGTGGCATTAAGCACATTCACATTGTGCCACAACTGTAAAGTTTTTAAAAAGAAAACAATACCCATTTCTCAATCCTTCTGATTTTCCTTTCTCCCGTAGTATATCCCATAGTACATTTTTTCTGTTTTATCAACTTTCCTTTTCTTTTAGATGCTGAAGAATTTCTGGCAGAAGGTTTGCGGAATGAGAACCTCAGCGCTGTTGCAAGGGATCACAGAGACCATATTCTACGGGGCTTTCAGCAAATCAAAGCCAGGTTTGTATAAACTGGTTCCATTAATCTTCTTCATAAGCTTTAAAACAATTTATAATCAGTAAAATAAAGTCACAAGGTAAGACATACATATCATACCTATCATAGTTCTTTATACTTGACAGAAACTTAATAAATATTTGCTGAATTGAATTGGAGGCAGGCAAGCATAGTTAGTGTAGTTTACCAAAATAAAAATGTTTTGATAATTATGTATGTATCTTGAGGTAATTATTCTGCTTTTAGCTTTGGATTTTTATGTTAGCCTTCATTGACCACTTTTGCATTTAACTAAAAAATGGTGAAAGATAAACATTTATGCATGTCCAAATTATTAATGAGAAAGTGTTAGGCAGTATGAGATAATGTTCATTATGATTTTTGGTACTGATTTTACTTCCACATCTCCTTCCCTCATAGAAAACTTAAATGAAACGTATCAAGTCGATTCTTTGACCATATTGGGATGTTTTATTCCTGGACTGGGTTAAAATATGTTCATTTTTTAAAAATAAGAAGCCCTGACCTAATTTGTGCATTTTAGAATGTGAGCATCTGACAGATGCAAACACTTGCTTGGGGGAGGAAAAAATAAAAATTTTCCTTTATAATATATTTTCTGACCACCTATTGCTTGAAATGGGTAACTGAATGAGGGCAAGGGATAAGTGAGTGTTCCTTTAGCTTTTTCAAACCTGGTGGCAATGTGATTCAGAATGTTTAAACTGAATATTCTTAGCAAAGGAAGAGCATCTGCAGGGTTATGGTTGAGATTTAATTTGTGTGGCTGACCGTTCTTAGTATCTACTCTAAAAACCTCATTGAAACTCCGTAGAAACAGAGAATTTTATCCTTCGGAAGGGCACAGCCAGAATCTATTCCATTCAGGAATGTGAGAGAACCTCATGAGATGCCCTGCTGGATCTTAATCGATCTTTCCTGCTGGCTAATTAAGCATCACTTTTACTCAGCAACTGGGGACTGTGTAATTATCAGCCTGGGTTGCCCTGAATAATTGAAACAAACAGAATGCAGAAGATGGGAGTTTTTTGCAAAAGTGGGAATATCTATAATTTTTGGTAGGTTGAAAGAGTGTTTAAAACAAAGTTCTCCATAATGTTATTTTATTAATAGATAAGTTTAGGCTTAGTTATGTACCTGGAGACTTAGTAAATTATAGAATTTTTTTAATTTCACAAGTTTGCCTTTGTGTTTTATGATTACTCTAAGGGTGGCATGTGGAATAAAGATGGAATTATTTTAAATTTGGAGAGGAATGACCTAAATATAATGGTGTATCTGGTGATTCTATTGGTATAAATCTTTGATAAGGAATGCAAAAACACTTTTACTGCAGCTGTAGTACAAATATACAATGAGGAGAAATTCTTTCCTGTATTTTTACCACAGCATTGAGAAAGGACTAAATTTCAATCTTAATTTGGTAATAAAAGGCAATTTATGTTAACTCATTACTGTCAGCTGAATATTATTATACTTCTTAATCCTCTTTTAAAATATATACACACATGCACACACATGCATGAACACACACAGAAGCTGAATTTGTCATGGGGTAGAGTCAGTTTCTTGTTCTCAAATTCTTGTTCTCAAAGAACTTTTTGTGTGGTTTGTGGGGTAGACATTCAGGAAATAATCAGCGGGAGCTTTAGGAAATATCTGCATTGTTGATGGGAGCTTTCTGTTCATTGACTTGTTGCAAGAAAGATGACACTTTATTTAGAATTTCATAATTTTCAGATCACTGAGGAAATGAGGAGCCAGAAATTAGATACTGTACAAGAAAATGGAAAAATGAGGCTTTCCTTTGGCAAGCTGTTTGAAATTGCCTTACATCCACCCATTCAATCATCACTCTGTTAATGTAACCCTTGTTTTCCTGAATCCTCTTCTTCAGCCATATCACCTCTATTGTGCCATTTATGGCTGCCACATTTACTTATGTTGTGTGTTTTTATATGTCCCCCAAAAAGCTTGGCATGAAAAGAAATTTAGAAGTCATCAAACTTAAGAGTTAAACGTGTATGGCAGGCTAAATGCAGTGGCTTACCCCTATAATCCCAGCACTTTGGGAGGCTGAAGCCAGAAGATCCCTTGAGGCCAGGAGTTTGAGACCAGCCTGGGCAATATAACAAAACTCTATCTCTACAAAAAATAAAGTTAGCCAGGTGTGGTGGTGTATGCCTGTGGTCCCAGCCACTTGGGAGGCTGAGGTAGGAGGATCACTTGAGCCTAGCAGGTTGAGGCTGCAGTGGGCCATGATCATGCCACTGCACTTCAGCCTGGTCAACTGAGTGAGACCTTGTCTCAAAAAAAAAAAAAAAAAAGTAAAAGTTAAGCATATGGCAAATACATGAACCATACTGTAACACAAAAATAATTAAAATTAATGAAGGTCATTTAAAAGATTTTATTTTTAGTCCTTTTTTGTTTGTTTTTCCTTTTTTTTTTTTGAGACAGAGTCTCACACTGTGGCCAAGGCTGGAGTGCAGTGGCACAATCACAGTTTGCTACAGCCTCGACCTCCTGGGCTCAAGCGATCCCCTGACCTCAGCCTCCTGAGTAGCTGCACACCACCATGCCTGGCTAATTTTTTACTTTTTGTTGCCCAGGCTGATCTGGAACTCTTGGACTTAAGCAGTTCTCCTGTCTTGACCTCCCAAAATGCTGAGATTACAGGCCTGAGTCTCTGTGCCTGGCCTATTTTTAGTCAGATTAAAACAATAATATTTTAGGAGTTTGGTAAATTTGGGGAGGTGGTAACCTATCTAAAACTATAAATTTAGCACTTCAAGACTTATTTGGAAGGTAGATAAATCTCTAGCAAGATAATCTGGAAAAGCCACTACTAGATAAATGTGAATTATATATTTACACATACACATATATGTATTTTACAACTTCCCACTCTCTTTGTTTCCTTGCTTCCTTTAATTCTTTCCTCAACATGTATTGCTCTAGAAACAAAAGGGTGGAGAGAAATAAAAATAGCACTGCCTTTGAGTCTTGGTAAACTTTAGGGGCTTAGCTCTTACTTTTATGGCTGGCTTGGAATTCACTGGTATTTGCCATGGTTGTGGACTTGCTGTAAATGGATGCATCTGACTCCATCACAGCTGTTATAATGTGTTTTTTGCTATTTTCTGTTGTCTAGAGTGATGACCACAGGAAAAGAGAGTTGTGTCAAGAATCATGAGTGTTCTCCAAGTGCTCATCTGTTTTTCAGTACAAATCACTTTAGCTATTCTGTTTTTAGACTTAGAAACAAAAAATAGCTATCTTTTTTTAGACTTAGAAACAAAAAATAAAATCCTATCTATATTTACATACTTTTGTTTTTTTTTTGCTTGAAAGTGTCACCAATGAAAGCTAATATTTTCCATGTAACACAAAATAAAAACGGATAGCAATTTCTGTGATTCCAAGGAAATGAAGCCCTGTTGTGGTATTGATGTCCTAAGCTGTGATTTTCATTGCTGTTCTTAAAAACTAAACAGCTTTCACATTCCAAGTCCAAGTTTTCATTGAGCCCTTTGGAGAATGGCTAGGATAAAAGCCAGGCAAAGGCACTTCCTGCTTTATTACAGTGGTCACTGCAGGATTAGCACCAGATGTGAGACACCTGGAATGAAGCAGTCGTGATCTACGCTCAGACACTTGATGGCATTCTAATGCATTGGGAGAAACAGTAGAGCATTTTTTAAATGCTTGATTCAGTGGAGGCCATCTGACAGCAAGAATACGTTGAGAGTGGGGGAAGTGATAAAGAAAATATAATTTTTGTTTTGTTTTTTTTTTTTTGAGACCAAGTCTCTGTTGCCCAGGCTAGAGTGCAGTGGTGTGATCTTGGCTCATTGCAACCTCTGCCTCCCAGGTTCAGGCGATTCTCATGCCTCAGCCTCCCGAGTAGCTGGGATTACAGGCATGAGCCACCACGCCTGGCTAAATTTTTTTGTATTTTTAGTAGAGACGGGGTTTCACCATGTTGGCCAGGCTGGTCTCTCCTGACCTCAGGTGATCCACTCACCGTGGCCTCCCAAAGTGCTGGGATTACAGGAGTGAGCCACCATGCCCAGCCGAAAATAGAATATTTTTATTATTGAGATATGGCTTAATTTCTCTCTTGATGGCCCTTTTTGGATGACTAGTCATTTATGCTCCCTGTTGGAAGTGAAGGACAGAGTCAATGGAAGCAAACTTGGAGTATTGTTTCCTTCTGTGAAACTTAGTAATGCTAAAGGAGTTCCAAAAAGAGACCAGGAGATTTATATCATATTGAGATGGAAGGAAATAAAGAAATACCTTTTGTGTGACAGGGTTCTGGCACCAAACTCAGGACATTTAAAGTACAGGCTGAAAGAATATTTTGAACACATCTCATTGTGGGTGGTTAACCTATAGCTCTGTGTGAAACGTGATATACTAGTAAAATCTCATAAAAATAATTCTGACGTTCTTTGGGAATTTCATGTTTTCTTTTCACCTTAACATGGATTTAGCTTTAAAGCAAGATTTAGTTTAAGAATGTATAATTCTGATATTTTTGTATTCTAGCAAGAAAGACAAGGAGTTAGCCTGATAAAACTCTTGGGAGCAAGAGTTTTGAAGTAGTATACTATAAATATAATCACCATTGATTATATAGAGAGTTTTACTTTTCTTAAATGTTAATTATTGAGCTTAAAAACCCCTAAAACAAAACACATTCAAATGAAGTATACTTATCAAAAGAACTAATGTATAATGTGCTATTAGTACATTTATGTTATTCACAAGTTTCAAGATTTGCTCATAACATCTTTTTCTATTCTTTAATTTTGCTACTTGTACTGGAGCTTCAGTGCAAATGCAGAAAAAAAAAAGTAGGAGGTACTTGCATGATCCGTCTAAGTTTAAATAGCTCTGAAAAGGCTCAAAAGTCATAGCAATAATTTGACCACATCTGGAAAGTTAATAACTCATTGCTTCCTTTTTCAGTCCTA